CAACCGGTTCGCGGGGACCGCCGCGAACTGGTTGAAACCCACCCCTGGGTTTGAAGCTAAGAAACAGAACTAAGAGTTCTGTTATTGTGGAGGACCTTGGAAGTTTTAGAAGATTTGACTGCCAGTAAATCTCAACAGCTACAAAAATGGTTCTAAGTTTATGAAATTAATGGAAGATTACTTCAATCTCGAGACCTGATGATTTCATGAGAATGGCACACACACATATTTACACCGTACAATGGATAACGAAGGTTTGTGTACGTGGGGCTTACAAGCACTGCCCCAACTCTGAATTTATAAACGTCTTCAGTCATCAAGCTTGGCTGGGCTAGTTTCTGTCTTTTTGAAACTGAACTAAAGGACATAATGCTCTGTTTTTTCTGCAGACCTATAGGGTTGTTGAAGGAACTTACTTCATCACTGCTTAGCTATTACCTAAATAATCTGGCAGTAGAGAAGCTGGAGAATGCTGGTTTGATCATTGTATTCGGAACATTTATTCATAATTTGATAAGCAATTGAGCATCAACAAGCAGAACACCTATTATTTTATTGACAGTTTTCTATTTCACTGTCAAATATGTTCCAAGTGGCATGCAAAAGCATTCCCTGCTCCAGTTTTGCCCACAAATTGTCCACATTCAATCTGAGAATAATAGTGACTGAATCAAGATCACCTGGTGAACTTCCATGACTGGGGATGGACTTGAAAGCGGAGTTTCATTGATCCTAGGTGAGTATCTTAACCACTTGAAAGAGCAAGCAGTATGTGAACATTAATGATTGTCTCTCCTTACAAAAAGGGTTTATCAGGAACAAAACTTTTAAATTTGGCCCCAGGCACTTTTGAGATACCGTGGATTTACTCTGTCTGGGATGAAAAGAAAAATCTGAAACTCTTTTCTAATCATTATTTTTATATCCGTAAAAAATAATTCACCCTAAAAATTTTCAACAAAAAATTAAAAAAATGTTACCAGAATTTCTAATTAGCCAAGACATATTTAAAATGTTTATTTAAAATATTTAAAATATTACTAGCTGTTTTAAAGATGAAAACAGCCTAGCCAAACCAACTAGAAAAAACTATGAACTCTGACATCATTACTCAAAATCTGTCAAATCTCAACATTAAGGATATTAAAAACATTAAACAGAAATGGCCGCAAGTTCAGGAAATAACACTAAAAACATGAAAGATCAAGAGGTAAGTGTTGAAACCTCATGAGATTTTGATCATTTTTAAAATGGTTATTATCTGTTTTTAGGTATTCACATCATAGTACAANATTTATTTATTTATTTATTTTTACATTTTTCGATCACAGCGCGATGTTTTCGTCGCGCTGTGATGACGTCAAATGCACGCTTTCGTCGACCGCGATGTTGTCGTCCGCGGTTTTGTGGTGGAACCACCTTCCTGAGGTGGGCGGCTATAGAAATCAAATAAATAAATAAATAAAATACATGATAGTAACAGCTGAGTTGTAGATCAGAACGAGCATATAACTACATAAGAAGACTTCATTTTTCTCTCTGTAATTTTAGTGCAGTGGTTACTTGAGTCCAGGCCATCAGTTAGTATACAGTACAACGTTTTAAGCTCTACCAACGTAAGCAGAGCCCTTGCACTTACTGAAGGCCTGGGATTTTAATTAATAATTGGGATTTTAAAAGGCACATTTAAAGGCTAAAAACCTCTATGGGTGTCCTGTTAAATGAAAGAAGAATGGTTTACTATTTTAGCCTGTATTACAATGCTAGAAAATAAGGTTTTTTTCCAAAAAAGATTCACAAAAAGGATACAACAAGAAAGGATACACTTTTCATGACACAGTATTACTGCAGTATTTACGCAGGAATGTTTCTAAAGAAGAACAGCAGAATGTGGTTTAATCCTTTTATTCTCTGGGGGTTTTTTTTCCCATCTAGACTGCCCATTTTGAAATAGTGATCATCATTTAAAAATTTGTAACCAAACATAACTTAAAAGAAATGGGCACAACATCTCAAATCTACAACAAATATTTTACACTATTTGATGTTACCTGCCATAGTTTTTGAAAAAAAAAAAGGCACTACGTCAATTTTGTTGAGCTTCCTCATTTTTTGTGCTGTTTTCCAAGGTGACAATCTTTGGCAGAAGCTAAGCAATGTACGTCTAGAACATGTAACTATGATCCAATCGAAATGCTGCTTACACAACTACATTAAATGTCTTTGTTCAAAATATATTCACTGAAATTACACAGCAGGAAGTCACTCTTGTCGCAACAGTGTCAGTAAGCTACTCCATACTTCTTTGTTATAAATCCAGAGATAAAATTAGGGGGAGGGGAGGGGGAGCCATTTTCATAATATACATTTCCCTTGACTCTGCAATTCAAGGTATACCTTCGGAATTCGCTCCAGACACTGTAAGCATAGCACCACATGCAGGCACGATGAAGAAATGTGTTCATTAAGGTTACCTAACAAGGATTATTTTAGTAGTAAAATCTGGAATAGAATGGGAAGTATGAACAGAGACAAGAATTCTCCTGGAGTTAACTCTCTGTCTTGGAAAAGGAGAGGTTTGAACAGTGGTGGGTTGCTTATCCCGTTCCAACCGGTTCGGTTGGAACGGGGCTGGCGGCGTCCTCGTGCANTGGGCTTGAGCCCCAAGGAGATCGCCAGAATGCTTTGAACCCTGTTTAATAACTTAACAGGCTAAACATTCCAACAGAATTGATGCGGAATCATGTCTCTTTAATATCTTCTTCCTTTATGCTGTTGTGCCAGCATCATACAGACCAAGGGCAGACACTCTGACAATGCAAGAAAAAGGAGCAAAATGGGAAGACAGCGTTTCCAGCAGCTGCCCCCACAAAAAGAAATTATGCATCAGGGCACAGCTCATTTTACCCTTTTTTTTTCTTTCTCCACTCCCCAAATCAATAAACCCCCTTTCTAAGAAGTTTCAAAGACAAAAGACCAGATGCCCCTTTGGATATTTTATTCTTGTGTTACATTTTTTCTGGTTTGATGTCAGACAAAAAAAAAAGTGCTTTAGTGAAACAATAACAATGCAAAACAGAATATTTTATTAGAGCTTTAAACGAAGCATTTTCCACAAATGCTATGTGGACCATTGGAAGAGTTTTGTTTAAAAAGATAAGATGCCCCTGTAATTACCAGAATGTTGTATGGTATTTTGTGTACTTTTACACACTATTCAAAAGTTCTGCTACCATGCATCTTCTTTTCCCAGAGCTCGAACACACTTGTAAGACACGGAACTCAAAAACGCACCTGGAACAATTTAAAAATGCATTAAATACCCATATATTATTCAACAGGAAAGAATTCATTTTTTAAAAAAAGCCAAGCTAATACTTGAACCCATATTTCTGTTGGGTGAAGTTCTACTGAGCAGGATGCTTCCACTGGAGGAAAGGAGATAACTCTTTTTTTTAAATTTATTATCCTTCTTGTAAATCTGCACCTGAAAACTGGGAGACTCGCCCTAAAGGCCAAGTAGTAATCTAGGGGGTGAGAACTGTGTCTCTTTCCTTTCTTCACTAGGAGTATCCTTTAGCTTACAGTCCCTTTTATTCAAGGAAGAAGCCGTTCTATTTGTTCTGAATCCAATGGTGCTATTGTGCTTTACTCTGTTACACGGAGAACAAAATCATAAGTAAAATGGGTGTTTTTTATGTTTCATGGTGTACACTGCCAACCTTCCTGCGTGACCCGTCAAAACCGCGGTCCACAAAAGCGCGATCGACGAAAGCGTGCATTTGACGTCATCACAGCGCGACGAAAACATCGCGCTGTGATCG